ACTTAATGAACAGCTGTCCACTTCTGTCCGGCCACAAAATCCATCCATCTACTAGATTCTAATCACTCACATCCTTTCTGCTGTTTTTAATTTCTTCCTGCATTTTTTGTGTTGCTACCTGAGATTATTTTCCTTCTGCCACATCAAGTCTATCATACAGCATGGTTACTGTAGTTTGTGACGATATATTGTATTCTTTCAAAAGGCTGAGAAAGTGGACGTTAAGTGCTCTTGCAAGAAAAATGACAACAGCATGAGGTAATGCCTTGTAAATTAGCTAAATCTCACCATGCCTCAAGGAATATGCACTTCAGAACATCGTGCTGTATACAGTAAATACATGCAGCTTTATATGTCGATTTTAAAAATTATTTAAAAATTATTCCCCTACTGTGACACCAACATATCTTTCCCCAAACTCCCAGAAAAAAATACTATGAGCTCGTGACCTTGTTTGGAAAAAAATAAACAATTTTTTTTGGTATATTCTTGCCTGCTGGCAACAAATTCTCTGTTTTTATATGTATGGTAATATCTATTTCTCTTTCACTTTTGAGGAATATTTTCTTTAGGTACAGAGTTCTAGTTTGGCTGTTCTTTTTTTTTTCTTTTAGCACTTTAAAGATATCACTCCTTCTCTTCCTGATTTTATCATTTCTATGAAGACATCAGCTGTAAACCTTTGTTGCTTCTTTAGAGATAATATTTTTCTTTGGACGTTTTTAGTATTTTCTTTTGTCCCTAGCTTCAGATGATTTTCAATAATTTGACTAGGTGTGTGTGTGTGTGTGTGTGTGTGTGTGTGCATGTGTGTGCATGTGCATATATTTCTAAGGTTTGCATCTTGATTTGATTATTAGCCATATTTTGAAAACCATTATCTTGTCCAATATTTTCTCTGCCTTGTTCTCTATCTATTCTCCTGAGACTTCAATTACATGTATGTTGCAATTTTTCTCCATGTCTCAGACGTATTGTATATCACACACAGACATATGTATATGTATACTTATGAAAACTGTACAAATATGCATTCACAATTTTCCTGTGTTATTTCATCCCTTTCTTTTGTTTTCTCTGCTTTAGACTGTATTTTTTTTTCTCCTGACTAGTTCACTAATTCTTTCTTTTATTGTATCAATCTGCTGTTAATTGTCTATCAAGTCTATCTTTCAGTGTCATGTTTTCAACTGTGGAATTTTTATTTCATTCTTTTTAATAGATATCAATTCTCTAGTAAAATGCTTTATTATGTCATCTACTTCTGAAAAAACATTAAACATAGCTGTTTTAAAGCCCATCTCTAATAACCTCAATAACTTGGTTAAACGGAGTGTTTGTTTCTACTGCTTTTCTTCGGTCATGTTTCTTGACATGCCTAGTAAATGTTTACTGAATGACAGACATTGTGTGGACTCTGATGATATTTTTTTCAAGAGATTTACCCTGGTCTGTATTAGAAACACAGAGTTGCATCACATGACCTAAATCTGATCAGGGAGTGCAACTCAATGCTGGTTGCCATTATTGTATGGGTCTCCGGTTGTCTCTTACTCCTAGGGTATGGACTTCTAGGATTCCCACTGAGATCCTGAAGTATTTGCTAGAATCTCTCTTCACTGATATTCCCAGGCCTTAATTTCCATATCTTTAGCATGGTCTGTGTAGTCAGTAGAGAATAAAAATATGCTAAGCTTTTTTTAAAAAATGCCTTGACCCTGGGGAGTGTCACGGTCAGGGCTATCTATGGAGGCGATTTAGGGAGCTCAAATAGGAGGCTATAGCAATTGCCTGGATGTGAGCTAATGAAGGCTGCTGATACAGAAAGTTGGAAGCAGGAATGTATGTGAAGAGGCAGATACGGAAACTCTTTTTTTTTTTTTTTTTTGTTTTTAAAGACGACGTTTCACCATGTTGGTCAGGTTAGTCTTGAACTCCCAACCTCAGGTGACCCGCCCGCCTTGGCCTCCAAGCGGAAACTCTTAAGGAAGAAAAGTGGGTGAGTAAAGTAGTTGACTATGTGAAGGTTCATGTGTCAAAGTTTTTGAGCCTAGGTTGCTGAGATATGTTCAATGGACAACTGGAAAAACAAGATTGTAACTTCGAAGAGATTTTAGAGATGGAAATACACATTTGGGGGTAAAAAACACACAGGAGAAGATGTAAGAGTTTGAGATGGATGAGAGCATTGGTTGAGAACACATAGCGCAAGAAGAAAGAAGTCTAGAAAGGGGGAATCGTAGGAGTCATATGCATTTTGGGTTGAATCTGATGACAGACAGATTCTCTTTTCACTTAACCAGTGTGCCCCCTAGTATATAAGGCACAATTCCAGCAAAGGAAAACACCTTGAATTTAAACATAGGCCGTATTTAGTACCATATAAGGAAGCGAAGATGAAATAAAACATGAAATAATTTCATGATTGCTATACTTCTAGCTCTTCTTTTGTTGTACCAGGCAAACTAAAAATTCTATCGGTGCTGTGTATAGGGATGATCAGTTCTCCAGTATTAATGAAAGATCTGGTTAACTCTACTCTTACTAGAACTCTTTAGCCTTTTGAGGACTGAAATTACAAAACAACTTGTTGAAAAGTATATATGGAAATCCTAAATCCAGGAGAGGCATGAGTAGAGTCATGGGAATGTGTCAGTGTTGAAAGTAAATATACTCTGTGTCAAAATGCACTGAGGGGCCAGTGGTAAGTGATAAGATAGGGAAGCTTGCTTTGGAACTCTCCTTGCAAGTGCTGGTACTGGGGTTTTAATAATATAACAATTCTTGGGGCTTTCTGACAAGGAATGCTTAAAAGCATACATCACTGCAGCAGGCTTATCAGTCCACTTCCAGGACAAACCCAGAAAGAATTTTCCTATATGAGTCTTCAGGCAATACATTGGCCTCAACTGTCAGTTACATTTGCTGAAATAAACCAACCTTAGTGATCTTTGCAACATGTAGTAGTTTTAAGAGCACATTGGAATGGAATGGAACCCATGATTTGAATTTTAAAATACCAAATTTGGCTGGGTATTTCTGTCATGTTTTAGTGTTCTATAGCTGACACTGATAGGAAATAATTTTTGGAAAAAAAGCAGAATCAAACAGTGGAGCACTATGTCCTTGAAATACACACTTTATGACTTCTCTCTATGCACTGTGAAAGTAAACATGTATGTTTCTATATCGTTTCAATCCCTTGATAAGAGCATAGATTTATGGATGTTTAACTTAACAGCTGTGCCCATAAAGCCCAGACTGATACAGTTTTTATAGGCCTGTTATATTTGAAGATCCTGTTTAGAAAATTTTTAAAAACCTTCTTCTCTTCACCAGTCCTCACACCTCCATTTAGCTCCCTTCAGTAGCTGTGCATGTTCTTTTGAATTACAGACAAGGACGGAGAAAAAAAAAAAAAAGACCACATTTTCTGCTAACTGAAATGACATTCAGCAATGCGATAATAGCCATCTTTTTGGTTTTTGTTTTTGTGATCACAGATTGGCAGGGTGGTACCAACCCGTCTAGAGCCGTGATTCTCACCTTGGCAGCACTTTGGTGTTGCCAGGGAGTTTTAAAAAGGTGAAAGTCCTGGGTCCTATTCAGAGGTTCTAGTTTCATTAGTTTGAGCTGAATCCGGGACACAGGGATTTTTAAAAACTCCCAGGGTAGTTATAAAATACAACCTAGAAGAAACCTTAAGAAACTCAATTCCCCAAAGTAACTTTTAGAATTAACTACATAGAAAACCTTGCCTGGATTTTCATCTCATAAATAATACTTAATCTTAATAGTTCTAGACATAGGGACTGGCCATACTTTCTCAAATATGAATTCAGTGTGGGTTCGAGAGTCAGAGTGTGAAAAACACAGGCCTATTTTATATGTGTTACTGGTGAGCTTGCCAGATTTAGCAAATAAAAATAGAGAATGCATAGTTTGATTTGAATTTCAGATAAACGTTGAGTAATTGTTTAGTGTAAGTATGTCACGTGCAATGCTTAGGATATGCTTGTACTAAAAAAATTTATGTGCTGCGTTTCTGAAATTCAAATTTAGCTGGCATCCTACATTTGTCTGGCGGCTGTAATTACAGGACATTCAGAAAATGTTTAGCAATTCCACTTTAATCAAAGCATTTTACTTGACTTGTAACCAATCACCTATGAAACCATTTCATATCATTCTAATCACAGTGAAGTCACACAGAACAAGCAATCTAGCCCTTGTGGCTGAGGCATTTAACCTAATTCACTAAACCTCCTGGCCTACTTTTTCACTTAAAAAAAATCACTTTGTCTAAGATATTTATAGAAGACATCCATTCTAATTTCCTTTACCTCTTAAGTACACAGTTCGTAATTCCTCCAGCAGAGATTTATCGGCTTTCTAATACAGTTCTGGGGTAAAACCCCAGTGCCGAAGGGGTTCACTTCTCCAACACAAGTTGTCTCAACTGTCTTAATGTGTAGGCCAATTTGCTCGACAGCCCCCTAAGGAAGGAACTTGTTGATTTTGGCAGTGTTTACTGTTCCTATGAACAAATTCAACATTTTCCAGACCGGCTGGCTCTTAAAAGTCACTTGAGGGCTGGGGAAACTCTGCCTCTAGGCTGCTGCAGAATGCTCCCCGCTCTGGTCTAGGAAAATCTTTGTGCTGCTCACAGCTGCTGGTGAATAATCCATGGAGTCATGATTATTTAGAATCTGTGCAGAGGCTGTGCAGTTCCTGGAGTTAAGTTATTTTCAATAAGGAGAGTGGGAGAATCTGTCAAATAAAAAGATGGAATGTTCTGGCCTTATTTAATAGTAGTATGGACTTTTCCACAGAGAAAGGAGAAGAGAACGGATTTACATTTTGTTTTCTCCTAGAGGCAAAATGTTTTTGGAAATGTCATTTTACACACCCAGCAATAACATTTAGTGTATCATGCGTTTGCACACTGCTAGCATTCTTAGTATGGTTATGTATTTTTGTTTGGGAAGCCTGAATTGGTGTTGTTATCCTTTTTCATTTGTTAAGATTATCATCTACTCTTCAGTTCCCCAGCCACCCCTCCCTGGCCCTGAGATCAAAACCCATTGAGCATTCTGGGGCAGGCTTCCTAAACATCTCACATGAAGGAGGCTTCCTTTGCAGGCACTAAGTAGAAGCTGACATCACTGTTAATCAAGGCGTTCCAATTTATGTTTTACAGAAGAAAGTGCAATGCATGGGTGTGGTAGGGTTTCCTCACATCTGCCCTTTCATGTCTAAAGATTCTGAGATTTAATTGAATATTCTTGTTCTGTCAGCTGTGAGACTGGAATTTTGCTTATCAAGATTAGCTTGATCTGGAAAATATCATTTACATTTATTTCCCCACGACATATTTTAATGCTATGTCTGGTAAGTTAAAAGCTTTATATTTGTTTAATTAAAATGTTGTTTTCCTCTAAGTAGCAACTTTGTTATCTTCGTTGTTTTAAACCCAAAGGGTTAAGATCTTAGCTTCTCAGCCCTTCCATCTCCTCCTGGCCACACCCCCGTCCCAGAGCTTCCGCTTCCCGTAAGTTTGGGGAAATGTGACTTTGCTGCAGTTGGCTTCTTGTCTCTTCTATTTTCTCTTCCTACATTAAGGGTTTTGTTTGTTTGTTTTTGTTTCTGTTTGTTTGTTTGTTTTAATTTAGAACCCTCTATCAATGCCTGTTACCATTTAGCCTGAGTCTGGGGTTTATTGGGTTTCCATCCCCATTGTGATTCCCATGCTTTCTCTGCAATTCTGTATGGGAATAACTGTATCCTTCCTCTTCCAAGTCTCTGCTTTGTTAGAGTCTTCCTTTCCTTCTTCAGTCCCTCCTGCTTGCCCAGAAGAGCTGCTAACAAAGAAATTTACTGTTCTGATTCCTCTGCTTATTTTTGCCACACCGGCCAGGTCCTGGCACGACTTTGCTCTGTCACCTCAACTGGATTGATTATGGGGTGGGAGTGGGGGTTTGACCGATTCGTAATTCACTACTAGAGGCATTCCAAAGTGTTGGAACCAAACCTCTAACACTTTGATTTAGTGCTTCAGAATGAACTTGAATTTTGGCCAAACGCACCCATTACTTGGCTCAAATGCGCAAACCTGGGGTGCATTTAGCTTTATGTTCCTCCTGTCCCATAAACCCTGGAGTAGAATTCTCCTTGCAGGTGAAAGCCAGAGTTGATTTGCTGTGGGGAGTCAGGGTAGCTCCTTTTCATGGTTTGTAGTAAAGGCCAAAGTTCGGAATGTGAGACAGGGAAGCTGGAGCTTCGTCTCTTCCCTTTGTCTTACACAGATCTCCTCCTTCTACTTTTCTGTTTAAACAAAGCCCATCTTCACTTAAAGTTTTAGATTTGAGTTGTAAAATGATTGCCATTGAAGTTACACAAACATTTGAGTTTGTTCGACAACTATGTTCATTTTTAGAAAGATAGTACAAGAAACACCTTTAAGTTTTGTGTTAATTGGATAATACAGTTGGCCTTCTGTGTTCCTGGGTTCTGCATCTATGGATTGAACCAAACTATGAAAAAAGCTGTTCAGAAAAGGAACTGCATGTGTACTAAACATATACAGACCTTTGTCTTTATTGTCATCGTTCCCTGAACAATGTCGTTTAACAACTATGTAGATAGCATTCACGTTAATCTAGAGATGATTGAATGTATACAGGAGGATGTACATGGGTTATGTGCAATACCATATCATTTTATACCCAGGACTCAACATTTGCAGATTTTCATATCTGCTGATGTCCTGGATCCAATCCTCTACAGTTACTAAGGGACAATCGTACATGCTTTGATATCACACAGCTCACAATGAAAGTAACACTTCCCCTACCACTCAGGTAATTAACCCTCTGGAAAGCTGCCCTGTGTCCTCCTACAGGTACAAAGGAGCTTAGAGTTTAGAATCCATCCTCAAGTACCATAGCACCCCTAACATCGACTATCATTGCAGTGTTTTTTATGATAACATTTTTTGCTCATGGAAGATGTGCCGTGATGACTGTAACTGTCAAAGCGGCCGTCCCAGAGGGCACATGTCACGCCTGCACAGACTCACAGAGTCCAGCTTCTTGCTGGTTCACGTCTGAGGCCACGGCAACTACCTTCTGCCAAGTAAGTCAGCAGGGACATTCTGGCAGCTTGGAAGGGATTTTTATGTGGATGGATATTAGCACCTTCCCAGACACAGTTAAATCAGGCCAGAGACCATATTAGACGCTTTTGCCACATTTTTATTAAATCAAAGCAAACTAGGTCACTGTTTATTCCTTAACATTGTTTTGGTAAAACTTAATCTAAGTCAAAGGTTAAAAGAAAAAGTTTGTCTCCCTCTTCCCACTGGAACTGACTTTGTTCTAACAATAACATTGATTTAGGATGCATCAGGACCACAAGCTGCTTCTTCGTCCAACCTAAAATAATCCTGAGCTGATTTTGCAATTTGTTTCCAGAACAGGTTGTATAAGAGCCATGGATTTCTATGGAGAGATTCAGCTTCTCTATGTAAATGCTTTGGCTCATATGTAGAAGTCAGCAATTGTCTTTGGAACAAGTCATCTACACAACCCGGCCCAATGTGGAAACAGGTCAGATAAGAAAAACAAGCTAAAATGTTGCTTCCACTGTGAAAAACATGTATTTCTGATTCCAGTAGAAAGAGACCTTTATACAGGATATGCACTGTGCGTAAAAGATTGAAACTGTGCAAGCTACTAGTAGACATTGTGGCTTCGAGAACTTTGTTTGTTGGTCAATGCAGGAGTACAAAACTGATGATGGGGCATCATTTGTAAATGTTGGCTATGTAAATGTTAGACGTGAAGCTGGAGTTGCGACAGAAAGAAAGTGAGGCCTGGCATGAAGAAGTTTATTCTGCCCGTGGGTCACAGAGAGGCAGCCACTGCATGCCAGGCAGGCCCACAGGGCACTGAGCTTCGGTCAGTGTCAGAAGACAGGAGCAAGGGCACAGCATACCCAGACCCTTTATTGGGATTTCCATGGAAAAGGTAAGGCCAGGCAAGGAAAAGGGATTCCAACTGACTCATTTAAATAGTGCTAGGGTTTTGCCTAGAGGGGCAATCTTTAGTTGCCTTGTACCAGGCTGTAATCTGGGTGGATTCAAGGCAGGGAATACATTATTGGCATTGTGTGTGAGAGTTAGATAAGGGGTTGGTGGGATCTACACACTCAGGGCTGGCGGGTTTGTGTATGACGGACATGCTCCCAGCCCAGATGTCTGCTCTAAGAAAGGGTTAGCCCTGGGAGAGGCAATCTTCCTCCTGCCAGGAAGGCTTTTAAGATGTCAAGGTATCGCAAAATACAGAAAACAAAACACATGATTAATGCGGCATCTCTAGTAACTTTCACGGTATTTCCAGCACTACAAATGCTAGAATACTTCATCTTTATATTTCACAATCACAAGCCGTGTGGAACAAGGGCATGACATTCTGACTGCAGGAGAAAGAAAAGGTCATCTTTTAAAACATTTCTTCGTAAGGTAGGAGGGTCTAGGGTCCTAAGCACCCATGAGGGTGAGGAATCAAGTTCATGAAGACACTGCACACTGCTGTATCGCCTGATCAACTTAAAATATTACCAGTAATTTTAAAGCCTCCCTGTGTTCCCATCCTTAAAAATATCCTTATCCGTACTCCCAGAGAAAACTGACTGCTGTATTTATCTTTCCTTGGTTGTTAAAAAATATATTACCTAGTATGATTGAATCCTTAAATAATGTGTGATTTAGCTTTGCATATTTTTGAACTTTATAGAAAATGAACTGCATAATATGTGTTCTTTGCCCATGTGCTTTTTTCTCCTTCTGCATCCTGTCTTGGGACTCACTCGTGTTGATGGACCTAGCTGTTGATCATTTTCAATGGGCTCTGGTATTTCACTGTAAAATATATCAAACTTGGTTATATGAAAATTTTTGTTCATTTCCTTGTGTACATGCTTATGGGGAGGAACTTTCAGAATGTAATCCTTAGATTTAAAGTTAGATACATCTCAAGCATTGTTTGATAATGCCAAAAGACATTCCAAATTACTTTTCATAGGTTCAGCAGGACTTGGTATTATCAGACTTCCTGATTTTTAATAATTTGGTGGGGAGGAAAACGGTGTCCCCCTGTGGTTTTAGTGAGCATGCTTTTTATTACTTGTGAGTTCTGGCCAACCACGTTTCCTGTTCTGTCACATACCTGCTTCTATCATTTGTTACTCTTGTAATTTATAGGAATTCTTTATACTTACGGTCAGTAATTCTTTGTCAGTAACAGGCACTGCAATTATCTTCTTTCTGTTCATGGCTTTCCTTTTCTGCTTTATTAATGTCATCTTTGAGCAACAGATTTTAACGTGGTTCAATGTATTAAAGTTTTCTCTTATGATTTGTGCTTTTTCCTTTGCATTTAAGAAATGTTTGTCTGTCATGAAATAACAAACAAGTACGTTTTCTTCTCTAATAATTTGACTTTCATAGTAAGCCTTCACCCATCCAGAACAAATTTTGGTGTGTTCAGTGATTTTTGTGAATGTCGTTTTCATTTGGATGGGCACATGCCCCAGAACTGTTTATTCAATAATTCATTTCTTCCCCACTGACTTATAATACCACGGCTGTCCCATATCACCAATTTTTATATGTATGGATTTGTTTTTCACATCTCTATTCATTTCAACTTGTCATTTGTCTACCTGTAGGCTGATGTTATATGAATTACTATAGCTTAATAGTAATTCTTGATATCTAATATGAATGATATTGCTAACCTTCTTCCCACCCTTTTAATTTATTTATTTTGAAATAGAGTCTCGCTTTTGTCTTCCAGGCTGGAGTGCGATCGTGCCATCTCTGTTCATCACAACCTCTGCCTCCCAGGTTCCAGCAGTTCTCCTGCCTCAGCCTCCTGAGTAGCTGGGATTACAGGCACGCACCACTATGCCTGACCAATTTTTTTTTGTATTTTTAGTAGAGACAAGTTTTCGCCATGTTGGCCTGGCTGGTCTCGAACTCCTGACCTCAGGTGGCCTGCTCACCTGGGCTTCCCAAAGTGCTGGGACTACAGGCGTGAGCCGCCGCACCCAGGCTCCGTTTTTCTTACTCTTCTTTTTCTTCTTACAGTTTCTCCTCCTCCTCACGCTTCTCCTCCTCCCTCCTCTTCCTCCTCTTTCTGCTGATTCTCTTCTCTTTTTTGGTTGTCTTGGCTCTTTTTTTTTTTTCATATGTTTCCTAGAATCAGTATGTATATATTAATTAAATTAATTTTTATTTCAATAGATGTTTGAGGAACACGTGGTGTTTGGTTACATGAATAAGTTCTTCAGTGGTGATTTCTGAGCAGTGTACACTGTACCCAACGTGT